CTCTGCACCACGGGCAAGAAAACCCTGTAGATTTCTTGTTCTTACAGTCTGAACTGAGAAAAAATTGCTTGTATTGTTTCATTGGATAAATGGTTTATTTCTGCTGTAAGAGATGGGATGAAGAAACCTTTTATTTGAAGCAATGGAAGGATGTGTATGCAGGCTGTTAGCACAGCAGCTGCTGTACAGTATGACTTTACTAAGTTATGGTAGGAGCCTGCATTGGTTGGTGGGGTATTAGTGTGCATCTGCTTCCAAAGGTGAGACATGCAAAGAACAAGCCAAGTTCTACATCCAAACAGCAAATAGCACTCGTAGTTACAATTACTAACAATGTGAACAAGTGTAGGTAGCGTGTGATAGCATCTGAGCAGGCAGTGTGGGTAGATTTTCTCTTTCAAAATGTACCAGGACTTTATTTCTGAGGTACGTTGTGACGCAGTCATTTTTAGGCCATCATTAACGCAGTTTTCCTTGTTCAGTTCAACTACTCTGTGCTTCTTCCTCTTTAGCAATGAACTGTACACGTTTGCATTTTACATCTTGAGAGATTCTTTTGCATGTCTTGCTTAGGGCTACTGGTACATGCTGTTAGAAGAACTCTGCCAGTATTACCGTATGTTTGTCCCCATCCCAGTTTGGTTCCGTTATCTTATTGGCTATGGGGAGCCGCACAGTGTACTTGGACAGAGCCTTGGGACATTGCTGGGCCTTTCCTACCTCATTCTCAAGGTGGGTAAGCTTTACAATCCTCTAAACTATTTTGCAAATTAGCACTAGAGCCGTGTAAGCCAACACGTTTCTGGTTCCTGTATCTGAAGTGACTTTCGGGTTGAAAAAAAGGGAAGAGTGGCTCAGAGCACTGCATTTGTCTTTTGTTTTTTCTTCTCCTCCCCTCCATCTGCTCTGGGCACGGATTGGGGTTGTGCAGCAAAGAACTCTGTTGCTGTGGGTCTCTTCTCAGATCAGACATCGATCTGACCGTCATCAGAAATAGAGAGGAGGAGAGCTTGCAAAAATAAAGGTGAAACTGATGGTAAAAAGGAGGTCAGCATTTTCTGGGAAACTCTATTTTTCTCTCTGCTAGAATTTGTGTGCGATGTTGAACAAGCCAGAGAAGCATTTAAAATAGCTCTCTCATTTGTCGAAGAGCTCAGCTGCCCCCAAAAAACAAACTCAGTACAAGTTCTGCTTTGAATGTGAAAAACACGTGATGACGTTACAGCGTCTCAATCACAAGCCTAAGGACTGCTGTACACACAGTGATAATTCTAATATATCTGCAATTGAACGATTCACACCACCAGTAGTATTTTTCTTCCAAAGAACAGCCACCCAGTACTAAAAAACCTTCAGGCTGAATGAAGGATTACATCCCAAGCAACTGAAACAGGGTTGGTCCGAACCCTTTCTTACCTTCCTGCTGACATCACATTGGCAGCACCACTTCTGCTGCTGGAATCTGCACAAAAACTTGAAGTTTTCTTCAACTCTCAGAGAAAAACATTAACCAGCACTCATCTTCTCCTTCCTGTTTCAGCTTTTGAGCTTTTTTGGACAATGGAGAAACTTCAGAAAGGTTTTACGGATATTTTGTACGCGACCAGTGAGTATTGAATGCTTTTATCTAAAAAGCAGTAGATCTGATATACATGAAGATGCTCCCCTTTGAAATAACACTTTCCTCTATGACTTCGTGGATCTCTCTCAATGGCAGCTGTGTTTTTAAAGTAATCCCTCTGTATTTGTTCCCTCATTTTGCAGTTCTGACTGCATAATTATGGGGTAACGTGAACAAAAGCAGTCTGTTCTGCATGCCTCTTCACACACACTTCTGTCAGATAACATCACCCTTTTTCCCTGCTTTCTAACTGGAATAAATACTGGTTGAATACAGGCAAAGCTTGTAGCAGAAATATAAGTGAGAAACGAAGCTTGCCAAAACAATTGCCATGTAAGTAACTGCTGTTAGAATAAGTTTCTCAGTTTGTCTGTCTGTAGGGACAGGTATCGTTATTTAGCCTGCTGTTTGCATGGGAAAATACACAAAAGATTTTAGAGCCTGGTATCGCTGACTTAAAGTGTTAACTATTATTTTAGATAAGTGCTTAAGTCCTGCAAGAAAAACAAACAAACCTGCTCCAGGTTTTTCCTACAGCCGTGTTCAGGGGAAGAAATTAACTTAATTAACTGCATGCCCTACAGGAGATGAGAGTGTGTGATCTGTAGGCCCCCTGCATCAGCTGTTGAAAAGTTCAGCAAAACTTTGCTGGATCAGGGATTGGGTGCTTTCCCTGCCATAGCAGCCCTGATTCCTTGTTCCTTTCTGTGCTTTCTGGTGTATTTTTTTTTCTCCCCACTTAGAAACTAGTATGTGCTGAAAAAATGTTGTTTTGCAGCACTACGGGGTGACAGCAAGCAAGAAGCAGTGTTCTGAATCAGATGATATTTGTTCTATCTGCCACACTGAATTCCAGAAGCCTATCCTGCTGATCTGCCAGGTAATACACACCGTCAGAATTCATTTCTGCAAAGTTAAAGTGTTTTTAAGAACTGGTAAACAGAACTACATAGAGTTAGATCAGCGTTTGCCTTCTGATGATCTTTAGCAATCAGGCTGTGCAAATAATGTTCCTCCTTACGAACAGAAGAGCTCAGAAGCTCTAAGCTGTCATTCTTTTCATTACAGCACACATTTTGTGAAGAATGCATCTCTTTATGGTTTAATAGAGAAAAAACATGTCCACTCTGCAGAACTGTTATTTCAGACCATGTTAACAAGTGGAAGGATGGAGCCACATCAATGCGCCTGCAGATTTTCTAAGGCATGTCAACCAACTTGCTTTAGTTTACTCGTTCTGTACAGCTCACTGCACATGGGAGTGCAGGTGGCACAGGGAATGAGTTTCCCAAATCGAGGTATCTGGGATTTCTTGCTTCTAGGAAATGTTTTAATACTTCAAACAGCGCAGAGTGCCGACTTCTTAAGAGTAGGAAAATAAGTTCATAAAGTGAAAGCAGGAAAGTCAGCATTGCTTCTATTGTGATTCTTTCAGAAAACAATCAAACTCTTCCAAAACGCTGTGTTTGCAGCAGCTTCTTAAATCAGCATTTAATTTAAAAGCTCACGGAGTGTTCCAGACTGTGCTAAATTGTATTTATGCCTCTAACACTGCCCAAAAACCCAGGGTGAGCAGTGAATTTCATACTCTGGACTACAGTGGGAGCTAAAGCTACCTGTCACACCTGGCATTGATGATGTCTTAATGCTACAGCAGCTTCTCCCTGCATCAATACTAGCAGCTCTCACTGCACCTGGAGATAAAAACAAGATGTTTCTCCCTTAGGCTTGTGCAGATTTCCAATTGATTTAACAGATTTAACACAGAAAAGCAACCGCTGATGTTAGTTTTTTACTGAGCTTTTTCTGAGATTGGTATTTTTAAAAGATCTTTAATAGTCTATTTTTGTCACAGCAGGAACCAGATTTTCTTACAGGGGAGAATATTTTATACTATACATGCCATTTGTAGTGTGCATAAGAATCAGAGGGAATAAACGCATTTAAATCTATTTGTTTGGTGCACGTTGAATAAAGAAATGAGATTCAAATGAGATTCATAGACAAGAAGTGAATCTGTCATGGAACAAAAATGAGCAGGGAGGACTTTAGGTTCGGTTCTGAATCTGTGATGCACCCCTACAAACAGGCAGCTCACGTGGCTCTCCAGACACGCAGTCGTATTTGGACTTAGCAAACAGTCTGAACTTGGTGCTTTACCTCAAAGGTGCTCTGTGCCTTTAGATGTTTTTAAGCAGGTATTGTGTGAGTACTTTGTAAGCAGTCTGAATGCCATATTTCACTCTGTCAACAAATAGCACCTTTAAAAAAAAAAGCTGTGTGTGTGAGCCCAATGCACAGCTTAGGAGAAGGCAGAGATAATAACCAACTTAGCCAGTATTCTACAGAACTAAGAAATGTCACTTATCCTGGATTAGGTTTTTTCCTGAAATGCTAACGCCAAGAGTTTACTCACTGTTTTAAGTTGGTTGCATTTAGGATCAGAGAACAATTTATCTTTTTATCTCCAAGTTAATGAATTTTCTTCAAGATCCAATGACTATTATCCAAATCCAACAATATTATCAGGCATAGTTTATTAAAAAACAAAACCGAACAAGAGCTTAAAAGAGATTTGGATCAGCCAGGTTAGATTTACATTTCAAAATTGAAACAAGTTCATTCTCATCTTAGTTAGAGAAGAAAGAAGTGAGTAACTTACAGCCATGAAGGACATCCTCTCTGATCCTGCAGTCAGCATCATGCCATTGAGATGCAGCTCTACCTGGAGCCAGAGCTCAGGTGAAGGTACTGCACCTGTAGGACAGACTGATCAGCATCTCTGGGTCCTTAAGTTCTCAACATAATTCCCCCTCCCTCCTTTTCCCTTTGAAGATGTGTAGACCCACAGTTATACTTAAGCCCTACTTCCTGGAAAAAAAAAAGTCTCTTGGATGAACATGTTTAAATTTTCAGTCATTGCTGCCCATCTTATTCTGCAGCACGTTTAGTTCCAACTAACTGAAAGATGAGAAGCAGAACAGGGATTACCTTTTTTTCCTCCTCAAGCTCAAGTTTGTTTCTTGAACGCGGCTACAAAGCCAAGTTAATCTAGAAGAGAACAAGCTCTAGAAATTCATGTATAGAAACCAAATACAGTAAATCATTGAGGATCGGCAGGAAGAACACTGAAGTCAGGTGCTGTGTTTTTAAGAACTTCTCTTCCTCCTGTGCCCATCTGTAACAAAGGCTAGGGATTCCTCTGTAAAATAGGCCATGGACTCAATTAACAGCGACAGCAGTTTGGTTTGATTCCCTTTTTAACGTTAACTCCCAAAGAAGCATCCACTGTATGGGGGGGACAAACATATCCTGTGTTCTCTAGCAGTTCAGACATGAATGCATTTTAAGAAAAGGGATATCCCAAAGAACCACTGACTCATTTATTTGTATCTTTTATTATGAGCTAATACCAGGATGACATTCAGATGTCAGATGGCACAATTAAGACAGTCTTGGTAGGAATTATTCCAGCATTCCCAAAATTACAATTTAGTACACAAATGGCATCAAATGTATGCATCACTCCCACAGAGAAAAATGATGAAATTCTGAATATCTCATACCAGAATCATTTCTGCATTAAATGGGAAAAGAAAAACTGCTGGTAATGCAGCTGACCTATTAGAAACCTTTTGTGGTAACGACTCGCAGAACAAAATATTGCCCTATTTAACATCTAGTAAAAAAAAAAATACGACTTTTGTTCAAGATTTAATACTTTCATATGGTTAGCCAAAACAGGTATTAACCTCAGTTTTACTATATTTTTGTAATGCTACAAAAATTCTATAAAATCAAATTATAGTGAGTTTTTCAGTGATTATAATTAAAAAAGCGCAGCTCGTACAAAATAAAAAAAATAAGATTCTATACTCTAATGAAAAATTTAAGACATTTTTAAATGAACAAAAGAAAGCACTTGTTAAGCTCTCCAATATTCAATGCATTCTGCACTTATCTGAAATAGCCAGACAGGAGCTCGAACTCCACTCCCCTCAGGTCGTGACTAGTCATTTTGACACTACTATATATATATAGAGGATCTATGTCTGATATTTTTACAAATAAATACAGGATAAACCATATTGCATAGTGTGTGCTTGCTGTCTGAGTCAAACTCCAGAAGTTTCACATTTGTGGTAGGGAACTAAAACTTAGAATCTATGGGGTGAAAGATGGACAGGATATGATATTTCCTTTCAAAAATGATAAACTGTGTCTGTAATTAAGCAGTAAACTCAGACAAACAACTCTTGCCATTCTTGCCAGCCATACCAAACCAACTCTACTGGACAAGTCTATCCAGCCAACCAAAAAGGAACTGTTAGCTGTAAGTAGGACCAAGAGATCTGCCTCAAAAAATTAAATTAAATTAAACTAAGTTCATTTACACTCAGTAAACATGGCAGGAAACCTATGTTAACGAGTGACACAGAGCAGGCACTGCTTGAAGTGTTGCCTCTTTGCAAATATGCATAATATACACACATGCAAGCACTCTGATTTCAGTTTCACAACGTGTCACCAGCAGCCATATTACCCAATGAAAAACATCAATCTTCCAGTACAATTTATGTCAGTGGAAGGTAACTTGATTTTCCTTACAAAACTAAAAAAGAAATTCTCCAACAAAAGGCTTACCAGGAAGAAAACTAAATACTAATTTTTGCTCAATCGCATGTATCTTCTTTTGTTGGCTCTTTATTAGTATCAACAAGATATCACTGAATCCTTCTGGCTTGCAAACTCTGATCGGATTCAACGTGTAGAGAGTCTTATGGCTTGGATCCTATGGCTCAAAAAGATTCAGTACACACAGAGTAAGCAGAATCTATAAAAAATCCCTACTGTTGTGAAACACTAGAAGTAGACTTTGCACAGTTTGACTAAAGATAATGCAACGTGTGGCAGGCAAAAAATGACAGGACTTGTATGCAGTTGCATGATCATATACACACACACACGCACACACCATACACACTCTAACTAGTGTAAAGCTCTGCAGATATTAACCCTTTCACCAGCTATGCTCATGGAAATGCTTTCTTTAAGGCAGGAAGTATTAAGTAAGGTAAAGTTACCTTTATTTTATTCTTTGTACCTGTAAGCCATTTGTACAGATTGTGACAATTTTAAAAACATAAATAGTGTCCTTAGAACATGTTTGCTAAATTAAGTTGCTGAAGTTCTGACCCACTGTGGAAGACATTCGCTGAAAGGCCATTTGACGTTTTCCTCAGCCTCATACAACCAGCAAATTTATTGCCCCAGCATAGAAAAAAAGATAAATTTAGAAATATGTAATGGCAGGGAAGTCTGTCCCATAAGCAAAAATTTATTTAAAAAAATTTCCTGAAGTTCTTACCCATTGGTTACAAAAAGGTTTGCTTGCTTACATGACGTCGAACTTGCGTACATTTCCTGTGGAAGTACAGCCACACCTCCTGACCTTGTGTTCAGATGCACTTTTTCCCAACCTTTTCTATGGGTAAGAATCTGAATGTGTTCAGCCATCTCCAGCTATGTGACTGGCATATGCAAAAGTGATGTTTCCCAGTGAAATGTCTGCTGAGGACAAGGATGAAATAAGCAGGACGTGTATTTGAGCCCATGGCTTCCAGTTAAGCCTAGAACATAGCAGCACTGTGATTTGATTAGATCCATTCGTCTTTGCAGGAACAGGTATTTCAGTTGGGTAAGCAAGTGAAACAGTTCTTTCCCACCCCGCGTTGCCAAGCTGGTAATTGAGTAACTCACTGATTTTTTGTTTCATGAGGAGAATCAGAACTAGAGCCTTTACTTTCTTCACAGCAACCAATTATTCTGTATTCTAAATTTTGGGATATTTTCCATAATGAGCTGAATCAAAAAAATCTATTCGAAAAATATATATTTTTTTATATATATATAAAAAAAACTCATTCGGTTTTGAATGTGAAATACCAATTAATTTTATCTCTCATCTTTGATTCCACCCCATTGCAGGAAACAGCTTAACCAAGCTTGCATGCTAATTATTCCTCGGCCGCAAGCATATAGGCATTTCATACTTTGCCTAGTGAAAGGGCTAACCCTCCTTGACACATTCACAACTAGACCAGTGATTCTGAAGCAACATCCTGCCCCTTAATACTGTCAGTTTCAAGCTACCAAGCTGAAAAATCCTTGATAAGGTGAGAAGATGTCACTGCGAATCAGTTAGATGATGTGCCTAGAGTTCTGCAATACCATTTTCTAAAGTTTTTTTATGCACCATTGATTGACAGAAAAAAAAAAAATCCATTTTTCTTTGCTTTCCAAGTCGCTCTGTGCAAGGACTGACTCTTTGATACTGTCACTTTTTAAAAGTAAACCATACAAGCCCTCGTATTTCAGCTTCAAAGGGCTTATGTCCATTCTTTGTTTTCCACCTTCAAAGGCTTAAAAAAAATTGCGTTGTCATAGATTCATGCGCAAGTGCTCTGGTCGTTTGGAAATCATGGGGAAAGCTTGTTTTTTGTATGGCCCAGAGTTTGGTTGCCGGATTGGAAGCGGTGCCGAAGCCTCTCCACAAACTGTCACATCCATTTGTTCTATTCCACTCGTCTCCATTGGATATTCCACAGGTGTCTGAGTATTTGATGCGCTGGCAGAAGCACCTCTTCCCCAGAATTCCCCAGGGGAAAACTTTACAGGGCTTTAAAACAAGAAATACAAAAATCAGAAATGAAGGTATACGCAGCACAAAGTTATGCCCTTCATTCTGCAGAAAGCCAAATTCAAACGGCTGCTGAGAAGCATGCAATTCTTCCTTCCACTTTCAGAAGGCTGGGAGAATTCTGAAGTCTACAAGAGGCCGTGGTAGATACTAAAGTAAAATTCTCTCCTTTGAGTAACTGGGATATATTTGTAGATTGCCAAGTTTTCATTACTAAAGTGATTCTTCAGCAGCACACGTTCTGAAACAGTTTTAGAGGAACACATAGCGAAGTCACCAGACTGTGAGGCTGCACCACTACTGCACAGGTGGCCAATTAGTACCTCCTGTGCTGCCAAACACCATAAATTTGTCTTTAATCATGTAGTTTGTAAAACAGGATTGATACTGCACTTCAATGGAAGCGACAGGCTCGCTAAGAAGAAAGGCAGTTTTGTTTTATCTGTTTTTTACCTACTTGCTAAAAAGTTGATAAAGAAGGAGAAAGAAGACATACCTGACTGGTGTCCTAGGGCTACCTATGAATCTGCGAGGTGATCGAATTTTTGGTTCAAAAGAAAATTTCTCTTTTACACTTTCAAGTACAGATGGAGCCACATACGTAAAACCCTGCAAAACAGCAATGAGGGCACCGTAACTTAGAGGTGAGATCGACATTTCTGGTGACTTGCACATTTATTGCCATCATTACATAGAAAGTTACAAAAAGGGCAGTAACTTCAGACACATGAACATCTGCTCACTACCTGATGCAAACAGCAGGACTTCAGGGAATTCCCTACCTGGGTGCCTGCTCACCCCAGATATTCCTGCTTGGATCACAGATTCACTGATCTGTGCTCAAACCAGTTAATTTTGACTTATAGGATGGCTTGTCTGAATGTCAATGAAAACAATCACATCCCCAGGATTCTTAGTGCAATTCTGAATTAGAATGCTGACATTTCAGAAAGCAAGCAATGTTTATGTGGGTTTTAAGTTAATCTATATAAAAAAACGTTGAAAGTAACTGAAGTATATTCAAAATCTGCAAACACGTAAACCTGCTGCTGTATATGTCTGCAAAATTCTGATAATTTGCTTTGAGTATCAGATGGTAAGAGTCAATAGATTTAAATTACCTGAATTGCTCTACTGTTCCCAAGTAACACTACAGATCTCTCCACATCGAATGCCTGTCCCTGGCTCACTTACCAGAAAGACCTGGTTGGCACTTTCACTGAGAGTAGAGTCATCTGGGCTATCAACAGGTGTCTGACGTGTAAACTTTGAATCAAACTGGCTCACATCCTCTTCAGATTGCTTTGCAAAAACAAAATGATTAAGGGTTTATATTACAGATATCAACCAAATGGCTTAGCGGTGATCAGTGTAGCCTCTGGATGGAGTTCATTCCATAGGATTTTGGCAGAGCTCTGCTGTAGTAAAGCCCTGGAGTGGTGTCGGAATCCTGTCGCTGCCAGTGGGAGGTCACTATGGGCACTGACACTGAGAAATAAAGGCAAGGGGGAGGGGCAAAAATCATGGATCAAAAAGGAACACAAATTAAAAAGATGCCTTTTAAAAAAAAAATCTCAAATTACAAACAAAAACCTTTTAGAAATACAACGGCAGTTTCTTTCAAGTTTAACTCTGGTCACAACCAGTATAGAACAGCTGCAACTATTAATTTCTGGAAGTCTTTCTCCAGATAATTTAATCCCAATTTCACAGGCAGAGAAGTGTTTACACTAAGGGACAGATGACAACTGTGGAGTAACTGCCTATGAGGAGTAACTCTTCAATTCAAAGAATAACAGACATCATTTCAAGATTGTTTCTTGCTAAGCGTCACCAAAAAGACAAACGTGTAACCCGTTTGTGGAGGCCTTTGTGTAACCAAGGAAACATGTTTTTAAAAACCATCTAGTCAGCACAAACAGCTTTCATGAAGTTTGCTAATAACAGAAAACTATCTTTGGATATTTGGTTTGGGAATGCCAATCTTTCATGTCATTCCAAATGTCATTCAAAAAAGGAGAGGATAAAAGCTTTGGAGTCTCTACACTGTAGTACACTCAACATGAGCAATGCATAAATCACTTTAAAGTGAGATTTTGAATCAGGAACTATCAAGGATACCTATACCTTTGCTTCTGTAGCTAATTGGACCCAAAACAAAAGACATTCCACATCACCAAAACACAGGGTAGAACAATATTGGCTTATTCACCACATCCTTGCCTTGAGGTGCACTTCAATTACTGCATGGAATGTGCTAGATGCAGTGTAAATATTAATAAGCAAACATCCAAACTTAACTAGGTGACTTCATTCAATTTTGCTTAGCAACTATCACCTTAGTTTCAACTAAATACTGACTTATGTTTAGAAATAATTGCACTTCCAAGTCTGAATAATCTACAGCATAGAAGCAGGGGGAATTAAAACTGAAGTAGAAGTTTCTTTCTTCAGGGGTCTGAACAGATGGATAAATCAGTTCTTAGGTGTTGTTGCCACCTTCTCTCACAAAAAAATCAATATCCTATTCTGGTGACAGATGAATACCATGACTGGAGGATAATAAGACAGAACAGCATGAAAGGGCTTTTTGTTTCTTAAATGTTGATACACCATCACTTCTCAGGATAAAAAAAAAAAAAAGAAATCTGCACCAGTAACTTCAGTTGATGCATTTAACTATTGAAGTACCAGAAAGCAAAGGCACTCTGGTTTTTAAGAGTGAATGTTTCTAAGTTTTAGATACCACACTGTTTCAGACCTTTCCTAAAGGTATACAGGAGAAGTATCTCACAGCTCTCTGAGTACATACCAATAAGGGCTTAAAAGGAGGTTCCACCTTGCGTGCCAACAGCTCATCCCAGTTAATGTGTCTGAAGAACGGGTGAGCCTAGAAGGGTTAGCAACAACACAGTCACGCAACAGCCTTCTGGATATAACTTGCAAAAATCTAAGATTAAAAAGGTAAGATCTAGATTTTATTTTAAGATATTAAGATAAGAAGAAACAGGAACTAGGCCTCTGGTTAGGCTTTCTCTATGCAAAACATCAGTTAGTTAGACTTCTACCCTGGGAAAGCTGCACTGTATGCAAGGACCTGCAGGTTTTTCATCAGACCGCTACAGTAACTTCACTCTTACATGGTGGACTGTACAACTCACCGCTGTAAAACTAGCAGAAAAGATCTACTGGAACACAGAGCTAAAAAAGTAAGCTATTTCCAAATCACAAATTATCAGATAGACAGCTGCTCTTTTGTTATATTTCAAAGCATCCATGTTCTGATCCCCCATCATGCATGGCTGCCTTTTTGCCCATTACATTTCCAGTCAGATGCACTCCCCCTTTCCCTGATGTTCCCTGTAACCTACTGCATTTCGAGTGAGGTAGTTTAACAATTCTGAAGTCAAGCAAAAGTTACCTGAACTTCTCCAGCATCTCCAGGACCAGCTCCTAGACGTGAGGCAGCATTTCTTTTTAGCAGCTTAATAAGAAATAACATCCAGAATTAGTCATGCCACTATGATTAGACTAGTCCTGAAATGAATCATCATGATTGAAAAGCACACAGAATGGATATGGGACAATCAGAAAATTTGCATTAATTGCAAAACAATCAAGTTTGTCACACAAAATCAAGACTGAGTTAGCAGCAGTCAAAACAAGCACGGGGTAGAGAGCCACAGAGGTATCATTATGTTTCTGTTCTCCACATACAGGTGCAGTACTGACATTTATTCAAATTCTACCTTTTTAAGCAGATCTCTGGCTTCTTGTGTGAGGTAGGGAGGCAAGTTGAGTTTACACTTGAGAATCTTGTCAATTGTTTTCTTTCTGTTCTCCCCGGTGAAAGGAGGCTAGAAAGCACCATTGTAGTGGAAGGAAAAATACAACTTGTTCAGATCTCTTACTTGTGTACAAAAAAGCCCTAATTTCAGTAATGCACAAAGCAGATAAAATTATTGCAAGTAGGAATTTGAAATAATTCTTTGGATAAGACCAGCTCATGACTGTAGTCAAAGTAAGTGTAGTTGTATTTTAGTTATGTCTATACAAGTGTATTCATATTTATACATGCATCTGAATTAGAAGACAGGTCACTTCAAAAGCTATAAAGAGAAATACATGCAATTATAACTGTGCACCTACTGCTCCAGTCAGCATGTCATACATTAATGCCCCCAAACTCCACCAGTCCACAGCACGATTATGCCCACTCCTCATCAAGATTTCAGGGGCCCTATAATAAAAAAAAATTGAAAATATAGAAATACTTTAACAAGCTTTGTAGTAATTCTGACTGCAACTTTTCAAGTACAATTCCTGTAACTGACTGAACCATCAGTTCTTAAATACTTCTGCATTTCATCAGGCAGCTCACATGTATTCAATTGTTCCACAGAACGTGTGTGTGACTGTTCCATCATGAATAGATTCTTTACATAATCCGAAGTCTGTCAATTTTACATGACCTGAAATTAAATAAATAACATGTCAGACAGACAAATTCCAGAATTCCAACATTTGTATCAGCAACATTTAAAAATAAACATCTTTTTTAACATTAACATGCAATAATCTGAACTACCTTCAGTTGCAGTTAATGCTCTGACAAAGCAGTACAGTTAATAAGACAGAATGACATAATTATATACAAAGACTAGAGGTGTTCCATAGCACATGAAAATACTGGATGGTACAGATTGCCAGACTAATCCCTGTCATGTAGCAATGCAGCAGTGCAATCCAGAATTGCTGCTACTGTCAGACAAAGTGTCAGCAGCTAGGTAAGTCATTTCAGCTGCAGGCTGGCACCTTACCTAACTTGTCCCTAACTAATGCCTTGTTACCCCATTACTGAAACGTCACTGATGCTGTCACACAGATATTTAAAGCTTCCGTGTGAAGACACATGTTTAAGTATTTCACAACGATCCAGAAGAATTATGCTCAGATCTCAGAGATGCAGCAGCAGCGAGTCAACCATTGAAGAAATGCTGTGCTTATATAAACGCAACTTGCAGCTTGCTGGAGCCTCTCTATTAAAGCTGAGAAACCTATGTTTTGAAGGCAAGCAATTAGCTTTGGCAGTTATTCAGTTATACCAAGCACAATCATGAGCGTGCCACTGTTACTAGAAAAGTCACATATGAATGAAGCATAGAGTGACCTTTGAAGAAATGCTTAAATGACTGACAACATAATTATTACTATATTCCTACCTTGATGATTAAGCATGATATTTTCTGGCTTCAGATCACGATAAATGATTCCTTTTTGATGCAAGTGCCCCAGTGCCATTGAGATTTCTGCTAGGTAAAAGCTGGAAGAAAACACATGCCAGGCAATTAGATGTATTCAGTCATGCTGAGCCTCTCAAGCACTAAGGTTACTATGCTCACATCAATAATTCCTTGAAAGTATCTGAGAGAAGAAATCAGAGAAACAATGATACCTTTGAGATTGGTCTGCCAAAAGGCAGAGAGATTCTAAGATGAAATACAAACATTTGCCACTAGATTTATCTGTTTGGTAGCCACCTTATGTATTCGGAGGAATCTGAGCTTAACAGTTACTGGGTAAAACGTGCTTCAATCTGTATTACCACATCTGGATGTAGAAGCAGGAGGAAATTCCTGAAGCCAAGAAAGTAACCAGCAGCATCTTCAGTGCTGTTTGTGGAACAGTGCAGTACTACAGCCTCATGTGCCCATTGAGGCTTTTTCTAAAATATTATCAGCATGTGCTGGGGAAAGATACAACCATAGTTGGTTGTGCAAAGCCTAACCTAGTTAGTAGGGGTAACTTCAACCTGTTTATCTGTAAAATATTGCTACTCAAAAGACTGTTTCTCATCCATTAATTCATTAGAATACTTTGTTACTTCACACATTCCATCATTAAGAGCACACAGTCAGTAAAGAAGTTTGCCAAGTCAGTAACTGTCAGGTCAAACTGTGTGTGGACGAAGACTTTCAGTCTTTTCCTGAACACCTGAAACACATCACACTCCTATGAGACAGTCACACCCAGCAACCAGCAGTGGAACCTCTCCTGCATTAAGACTGTTGTCTCAAGATGCCATCACAAACTGCTAGGTATAAAACACACACATCCTCCCAAAACCTGGTAACTGTTTCTTTCACTATGCTACAAAATGGTTACAGTTCTCCAAGTCAGAATGGATACTTCCAAGCACTCAAGAAACCCTATTAATTTACCAAAATAATTTCACTTACCAAGCCGTGTCTTCCATAAATATCCCTTCTCTCTCTAGCTGCATAAATAGTTCTCCTCCTGCCATGAGAAAAATGAGTATTATACTCTGTCAAAGTGCATTCTATCATCTTAAGTCAGTCAAAAATATGTTTCCCCCAAGAAATGTTAAATGTGGGTATTCTGTACTGCTCTGCAAAAAGTTCTTTCACAAAAAAACACAACTGAGAACATAGTATTCTGATATTCACATAATACTATCAACTTAAAGAATTACCAAATGCATCAAAACTTCATGCTGAAAAGAAAACCAACCAGCATTTCTGCCCTTGTTTTCTTCTATAAATCCAAGTTCTAGGTTACCTAGGCTACAAAGAATAAAGAGAATTTCGTTTACTGACCGCTGAGATACTCAAGGATGAGGTAGAGTTTTCCACCAGTCTGAAAGGCGTAAATTAAGTCTACGATGAAGGGATGTTTCACTTCCTCCAGTATATTCCTCTCTGCTTTTGTATGAGCTGTATCTTTTGCGTTCCTTACAATCATTGCCTGGAAACAGCAGAAACGTGAGCATAAGAAAATGGTAAATTGCAGACTTTTACATTTAACTCCCCCTGAGTTTATTTTGAGTCAAATCACAATGCTACGAGTGAGCAACATCATAATTTTTTTAAATCCCCATTATATGTACATAATAGGTTTCTTGCCAAAGTTTAATTCTTTTATTTATGTCATAGAGTAACTTAGATCAGAAGAAATCCTGAGATATTTAAATTATCCACTAAGAACTTTACAGGCAGAACCACTTAAAGATTCATGATAAATTCCAGTGTACCATGTTAATAACTGTACGTAACGAGGGCAAATATCAGTGTCAAGTATATTAAATAATTACATAATTCTAATAGCTGATGGGTTAATTTGTTTTTAGGTAGTAGCACGATTTGAACACTCATATTACCTTTTTAAGAACTTTCATGGCAAAAATTTTCCCGGTATTTGCTCCAGTTACTTTTCGCACTTGAAATACCTACACAACACCAATACAAAAACAATGATTCATTATGAACTGCAGAGGAGGAACTGCTCAGAACACGGGATGGAAAGATTAGACCTTCCCACGTGTGGCAAGCGAGCACTTTGACTGCCTTCAGCATAATGGGTTTACCTTTGTAGAAAAGAGTCCCTTACCTTTCCATAGCCACCTTTGCCCAGTACGCGCAGTAACTCAAAGCACTCCGGTCGGATCTTTTCTGGACCTCTGTTTACACTAGTTTCTGAAATCTCAAATTTTTCACAATGTTCCATGCCACTGGATAAAACCGAAACAAGAATATAAGACTACCTGATAACTTGACAACGACCAAGAGAAAGTAAGCAAGCAAACTACTTACGGCAAAACTTACACTAAAACTGACATGCCTGAATGATTGCTTTGGAGATAAGGAGAATTCTTAGCATCACAAACTGTAGTTATGTGTGTGCAAAGCTCTACGTTTCAGCTTGCACAAAAGACAATCTGCCTGTATCAAGATTTCCTTCAGATGCCTTCATTTTAATGCGTAATATATTTCTGTATTGTACCAGAATTAAGTTTGAAGGACCAACAACTCAAACTGACTTGGACAAGATTACAGTGCTGTAAGGTGTGTTTTAAGTTTTAAATCACATCCAGCAGTCCCCACAGTCACAATACAACTTCTGTAACAAATACTGTGCAGAAAAAGCTGGAACAAAAGAAGTCACAACTCTGAACGTGCCACAGAAGAAGACTGATCCACAGCTTCAGGAAGTTTCTAAATTACAACACGCTTCTGTAAAAGAAGGGTGAGGCCAACACCTTACCCTGCTACAGAAAAGGTAACTGAACTGTTTGAACTATTGCTGCTTTCTTGTTACACGTGGCACGCTGAAAACAAGCTGGGTATCTATACATGAAGCACGGCTAAAGGGAGCTGTCTCATGAAATCAAATCAGAACTGAATTCCCATCTGCTTCAGACTGCTATGCAAATATGCAGACAGAGCCTCTGTAAACCTGACAGAACATAGAATGTTCTGCAAAGAGGGCACTACACTCATACTGCAAGCATTATTCAAATACAATACAATAGCTATGTTAGGAGAAACAAGGATTAAAGACAACAGCAGGTTTTGCCAGAATTTGTTTTATTATTATTTTGAGATACAGTCACAAATTTTAATGTGAAGAAATAGCAAAAGAACTAAAACAACTCAAATTGAACAAGAATGACAAAATTTTCTATTCAACTTAACAATGTAACAAAAGTAAAGACTATATGTAGTTGGCATGAACATTTTCTTAGCAGCAACTTACAGGTCATATTGGCCAACTCCTCCATGGTCCATGCTCTCACTTAACTGACCCTGGGAACAGGAGGAGTAGAAGGATTAATTGCAACATAAGAAATAAAGCATAGTAAAAAATAAATGTACTGATATCTTTTACAGCTTTTTCACATGTATGGATACATTTACACATATAGATTTTGTTATATATGCACACACATATATGTTTATGTATATATAATTAAACAAGTGTCAAGAATAGTAAATTATGAGCAGAAGATAACAAGGCTACAAAATCCAGTGCAAGTGTTGCAATGCTTCCACATATCTTAAATTCTGATACAGGAGGCCTGGTGGTAATCATATCCCAGTAGTAATAACACAGTTAAGCTTTACTCTGGTCCTGCATGCTTTATCTGAACAATCATTCAGAGAGATTAACACACAAATATTTCTAAAAAGGCTCGAGCACTTCAACACCAGGACCAGACGCCATTAAAGAATGTAGTTCAATTCTGAAGACATATTTTCTTCAAACAATTTTCAACTTGACCTCTTATGCAAGATAATACTTCTCTCTAAATGCGGCTCTACATGGCAGAAAAAGTGCAAAGCAAGCAGACAGCTGGAAGGAATACAAATAGAATTTAACGGGCAGGCTTCTAACAAACTTCAGACTATGACAGGTTATATTTTCAGTTTTAAAAATATATACATAAAACAGCAACTGCAAGTTAGCGAGGAACAGCCTTGAATCTATAGCCTGGAATGCACAGCCAATCACGGAGTCCTGAAGTTCAAGTCTCATTCCAGGACAGAGGTTTGCTTGCTCACATCTCCTTGCTAACATTTATTTGGGAAATCCAGCCCCCTGACATCTGTTTCACAACAGAACCTGCTAAATGTGCCCTTGACCCTACCATTAAACAACAACGAACAAGTTCAAAACAGCCACCAACTCAACAAACAGAATAAATGCCCACCACATTCCCAGAAGAACATCAGTGTCCTTCAGATCTCAGACAGACACGCACAATCACTGCAAAAAACACCTTTCCCTTACACACACTTTTCTGATGCTCACATATTCCCCTCTCCCCAGTTCTGTTTTAACTTCTATTCCATCCTAATCTCCCAAAAGGCACCCGAGTACTGCATTAGGTTGCCATTGTGCAATTGTATTCACAGAAGCTGGCCCACAAGTATCTTCTGTGCCACCCATTAGAACCTGTTCTTGGCAATGCAGGCACTGTGACACAGCTGATGCTTGTAAACCAGGACCCGTATTGATTATTGGGGTGGCAGACAACGCTTCTCCTGCAACCTGAGAACTGCCATGCCTTCAGCTGTCAGACCACATCTCTGCAGTTCACATGCAGCGTGGGTATTCCAGCTGTGCTTTGGAGTGTCTGCTAATCCCAAGGCCTCCAGCTGGTATTCAAACAGCACAGCACGAATGCAGCAGCAGCAGTTTAAGCAGTAGCAAACATTTAATATCACAAAATGGCCCAGGTTGGAAGGGACCTTCATGAATATCCAACCTCCTGCCACATGCAGGGCCAGCAACCTCCACATTTAATACTAGGCCAGGCTGCCCAGGGCCCCATCCAACCTAGCCTTGAACACCTCTAGGGATGGACGGGGCACCTGCAGCCTCTCTGGGCAGCTGTTCCAGCACCTCACCACTCTCTCTGTAAAGAACTTCCCCCTGACATCCAACCTAAATCTTCCCTCCCTCAACTTCAAACCATTTCCCCTTGTCCTGCAGTTATCAACCCTTTCCAAGAGTTGACTCCCCTCCTGTTTGTAGGCTCCCTTTAGGTACTGAAAGGCTGCAATGAGGTCACCCCAAAGTCTACTTTTCTCCCGGCTGAACACGTAAAACAGCACATAAAAGCAACATCAGCACTAGAGATACTAACAGCGACCTTGTAACAAGATACCCAAAGGCCTCAACAGCATGTAAATGAACGTTACAAAAAAACAAACTACAGATCACCAAGTGGCCCATCCGGGGAGATGTGAGATGGGCACACGCGTTGATCCGCGCAGCATTTCAAAGCTTTGCTTTTGATTCTGGCGCCAGAGCGATCCCTTCATACAGTGCCAGACAGACGAGCACTCCCGCACTGACGTCCCCACATGTGACACCAAACCCCGCCGCCACGCTCGTGCTACAAAACCCACCGCCGACACATCAGGGAGAAACGCTCCGCCTGAACGCGACCGCCGGCGCCGCGCTGTGCGGCGGAGGCCCCGATCGGGGCCGGGGCTGCCCGGGCAGGGCGCGGCCTCACCTGCATGGGCCCGGGCCTCCGCCTCGCCTCGCCTCGCCTCAGCTGCTCCGCCGCCGCCCCCCTCACGCCTCCCCCGTGCTCCGCTCCTCCCGGCGGCCTCCCTGCCCGCCCGCTCTCCGCGCCGCTAAGACTCTCCGTTCTCACCCCCTCCTCCAGCTCCTCATCCGAACCCGCGTCCTCGGGCTGGTCCAGATCGATGTCGAACACGCCCGCCATGGCGCGGGTGTGAACCGAGGCGTCGCCGCCCCTTCCTCGCTGCGCTGAGTGCCCGAGGCCTGGGCCGCCTCATGGGCCCGCACCCCCCAACTCCGCCACGGCCGCCATCACGGCTGCCCGGCCTCACCGCGCATGCGCCCCCGCCCCGGCTGCGGGCGCCGCGCAGGCGCACAAACCCATCCTGCGGCGACCGGGGCCGCACTGAGCATGCGCGGCGAGGGCCTCGTCCGGGCGGCGGGCGTAGAGCTGAAGCTGAGCATGCGCGATACGCGCCCACCTCCCTCGCTCCTGGCATGGAGCTTGCGTAGATGGTGCGGCGAAGCCGTTCGCTCAGTACGTGCGTATTGCCTTCTGTGAAGCCCCGAAGCCCGCCGCTTGTGCCCGAACTACCCGAAGTTCCCTCTGAGCATGCGCACAGCTGAGGGGGGCTCGCTGAGGCGCGCGGGTGCGCGTGCGCTGCTGATGGTTGAGCGGTTCTGCGAGGTCAGCCCTGAGGAGGGGCTGCGGCGTGGACCCCGCCCCTCCTGAGCCGGCATCGACCTGAGGAGAGATCCGGGCGGGAGGGACGGGCGAGGAGAGGTGGGCGTCCCTCCTCAGCTGGGAGGGGAGAGGCGGTGGGGGCGGTCCCAGAACATGGCGGCGGCGGGGAGCGGGCGGGAAATCGGCGGCGCGGAGCTGTGAGGGACGTGCGGCAGCCCGAGGGCGGGAGCGGTCTGCATGCAGAGGATTGCCTCTAAACTGCCATCTGCGTTCTTTGACGTTCGGGCTGGAGTGCTGACGGTCGGTATTTCACCAGAAATAGCCGCTGGTTGTACTGCAGCCTTTCCCTCCTCGCTAGAGGTTGTAAAAAAAGTACAAAAGCGATCAGAATTCTGCTTGTCAGAACCTTTTTAATATGGTGGGTTTTTCTTTTTTTTTTCTTTTTTCCCACCAAAGGCATGATTTTCTTTTTTTTAGGGCTAAACACGAGGTGAATTAGAATGTCAATAGTTGCAGTCCAGCTTGGCCAGTGTGGTAACCAAATTGGTCATGAGGTGTTTAACACCATCTGTGCCGATGTCCGTGGCACACACGGGTTGTGTTCCAAGAAGGAGAATGAAGCCTACCACGATGCTTGTACAGAACGGTTTTTCAGCGAGGCAGAGTCTGGAGGTACAGCATTTTGGTGTTTTGTGTCCCACAGAAGGTCTGGTACTGACATCATCCAAGTTCTACCTTCAGTCTGGAAGAACTGTCCCAGCTTTATGCCTTCCTGACATTGCTTACAACTACAGAAGCAAAATCAAAACTGGTAGAATGCCTGAGGCCATGGATCGTGTCTGCCAGTAGTACAGCTGGAAATGGGACATGTATGCATAAACAGTCTTCCCTTCCAAATATCCACATTTCCCATTGTAGGCAGATAATACCATGGAGTAGGGTCTAGACTATTTGAATCTAGTGTTAACAAGCAAATTAAGACATTTCTTTCCCAAAAGATCCATGTCCCTGTTATTCAGATCTATCTTTAGTACTATCAGTGGTTCTCGTGAAATCCAGGACACTTCTGCATCCTGTTTTCTGTTCTAGTTGGGCTTATGTGGGTGGAAGGAATACAACTTGGGTCATGATGCAAGTCAGTATCTCATATAAACAAGTTGTGATGTTGGCACTTAGTTTTGTTTCTCTTCCCCATACAGTACCTGTTGCCCGGGCTGTGCTTGTTGACATGGAACCTAAAGTAATCAGCCAAACTTTATCGATAGCTGCCCGGTCTGGCCATTGGAAATACGATGATCAGTCGCACTTCTGTCAGAAGCAAGGGTCTGGGAACAACTGGGCAAATGGGTAGGAATCATTTCCAGCTTCGCTAGCGGAACTGTAGGGGATAATGAGCTGTCTGTGCTCTCTACGAGTGATACTGTTGCAGCTGTGTGAGAAACATTCTTTAATGACTTAAGGTAGAGAAACAGTACATACAGCAGCAACGTTTCTACACTGCTTTTTGCAAAACGAAATTGGTATTTACAGGGAAAATGTAATGGCTTAGAATATGTTTAACAATGGGTTAACAATAAGTTCAATTTCTAAACAGCTCTTTTGCAAAATAAATGCCACAGCTGAGGATTATTTACTACAAGTAGAATGAGTGACACAGTGCCAGGTTACACTGGTAATACAAAGAAAAGTACCCTTTATGAATAGGCTGACCTTACTGCCTTTATATCACCTGCCGTTTTTTTTCCCTTTATTCTACAGTTACTCTGTTCACGGGCCTAGAAACAAAGAAGTAATCATGAATCTAGTGCAAAAAGAAGTAGAGAAGTGTGACCGACTCAGTGGATTTTTCACAATAATGAGCATGGCTGGTGGTACAGGTTCTGGCCTAGGAGCATTTGTGACTCAGTGTTTAAGAGATGCTTTTCCAAGATCGTTTATACTAAACCATGTTATCTGGCCCTATGGCACTGGTGAGGTGAATGTCATTTTTCCCAGAGATATTTTGCAAGATTATAATTGTGATCACAGAGGAACGGAAATCTAAATAAACTGCTTGCTTTTCATGAGTAAAACAGAGTAGATGCAACTGAAATAAACTAGAAGAGAAACACTTCATTCTTTGAAAGTTCCACATGACACAAAACAATTTGTTTGCTTCGTATTTGGTAGTTTAATGTAAAAAAACTGTGGCTATCTCAGGCTTGTAAGAAAACATTTAAAATTTACTTACAAAAGCACTGGGGTATAATGCAGTTTCATGAGAAGCTCTACTAGCTATCTAGAAATCTCCTGTTATGACAGTATCTGAGCATGGTAATCAGTTCCTTCTGAACTGAGATGAGTTAACATGATTTTCATAGGTCTTGCTCCATTTCCATGAAAAAGCTGTGACAGCTCCTGACCTTATTCTGCACTTTGACAAAGATGAATCACTTCCTTAACTACAACTGAGTAAATGACAGTAGCCAGAGGAATATATTAAACTATAGAAAGAGATCAAGTTGTTTGACTCTCATTTGGTGTTTTTTTTTTTTTTCTTTTTCCAGGTCATTGTTCAAAACTACAACTCTGTTTTGACTCTGTCACATCTGTATCAGTCATCAGATGCTCTTCTTGTTCATGAAAATGATGTCATCCACAAGATCTGTGCTCAGCTGATGCATATTAAACAGATCTCCTTCAGGGATGTAAATCAAGTCATTGCACATCAACTGGGGAGTGTTTTCCAGCCTGCTCACACAGCAGAAGCTGGCTTACACTATAGCAGAAACCCTTTAGGTATCTAACTGCAATGTAGATACTTAAGGCATTCTTACACATCTTTCTGTAATCATTTCATTTTGGGAATTTAAGTTCTTCAGTCTCTTTTACTCAACTACTTGGATATAACCCAAGGCTTACGATAGTAAAAATAGATAGGGAAGCGAAAGACTAAGTTAGTAATTCAACCCTAATTTTGCAGCAGAGTCAAAAATAGATAACCAGCTTCTCGTTTCCTTCTTTAGCAGAAGACTCATGTTCCTCCTTTTTCAAATGACTACCACTCCTGTACTCATTTACCTTTCAGAGGAAATTTCTGCCGGGCACTAATCTTAGACTGAGTTTTAACATTTAATGTTAGGTTAGAAGTTTGTACAAACAAAAGGCTAGTTTTGTGTTCAGCTCAGAAAACACACTAACATGCAACTTGGTAGCAGCAAGCAACTGGCTTGCCAAGATGCTGCTTGTAAAATTAAGCTCTCATTTTCCTTTCCACCTCTTCAGAAGCATATAAGGTCTTTAAGATTCTGAGCCAGACTAAAAGGAGGGCAAGTCTAAATTGTCAAATAAGAGCTTCTAACTTGCCTGTATAAAACTCAGTGGTAGGTTGTAAATCTTTGCATTTTGTCAGATGCATCTGTATATTTGTTAAATTTAAACTTTACATATTCTGCTTTCTTACCTTCAGTTACTATCTTTGTAAAATCCTCATGCTCTTCTTCTTTTTTAACTAGCCTATGCAGTATTTTGCCAAACATGAGCAGCTGTTATTTATTTTTTTTTTTTTTAAGGAGACTTAATGGAAACTTTAGTTCCACATCCTGAATTCAAGATGTTGGGTCTCCGTAACATACCTCAGATGCCTGAAAACTGCCTTGCATATAGCACGTTCAGTTGGCCTGGACTCCTCAAACATCTGAGGCAAATGCTCATTGCTAATGCTAAAATGGAGGAAGGTAAGAAGCGTTCACTCAGCCATCACTCTTTAAGAATACATCTTTACATTGAAATAAAGCTTACTGCTTTGTGGGGCTCACTGATTTCAGTCGCTCCTTTCAGAAGCAAGCTGCTGCCCTCAGACAGCAGGAATTTGTCTCCACATAGCCAGCTGCTTCTGCACTATTCATTCAGCTGCCACTCCTGGCTTGCTCATGTTTTTGCTCCCAGACATCTCAGTTAATTATAACTATTGAAAATATGCAAAACAACAGTTTTTGGTCATGCACTTAATTTACATGATTCATTTGGAACATTCTTTGAATCATTTGTTTTCCTATGCTTTTTCTTGTTATACCTACTAATAAAAATCGTATGCTTAGCTTTCCCATATCATTTACATTGAGAATTCAGCAAAGCTTCCACTTATGCAAAGAATGGGCTGGCAGATTGCTAACTATAGAAAAAAGTATCCGTTTCTCTGGTAAGATTAGTGACTACCAGGAAAACACTGCTGGCCAAGCTCGGTTTTCCTCTGAGAATTGTGTAATTGCTGCTTAGCAGACATACAGAAACTACAAACCCTAGTATGATCTCAGCTTGGGGCACAGAGTTGGTCTGAATCCATATTTCATGAAACATTAACTTTGTTTTATAACTTATTTGCAAAAATCTTGTAGGTATTGATTGGCAAGTACGGCCGCCATGCCCAGGCTCCTCCATCTCCTCCAGTCACTCCACAAAGAAGCTGCTGCATTTCAATACTTCCATTGCCAACCTGGTCATCCTGCGAGGAAAAGATACACACAGTGCAGACTTAGGTGAGAAGGAAGGGCACAACATCTCAGCCATTTGTTTCACATCTCAACTGTTTTCTTTGCGTGAAAGTGAAAATAAAACAAGGTCACGTATTTGACTAATAAAGTCAGTATTCCCTCTAGAAAGATTTTAATGTGCAAGGCCATGTGTAATTAGTTAGGACTGTTGTATTTACAGCTAAGGCTTCTATATTACCTGAAGAGTTGTAGGGAAGGACAAAGAGACTGAAGCCTATATATATACAGTAGAATTCTTAGCAATATTGTCTGAAAATATATTTTGCTGCTTCTGGAATGACAAGCACACCTCATACATGAAGTACTGACAGCAGAGTACATTCCTGGGTAGTATAACTGTTTCAAACATTCAGTACACTTGAAACTGACCAGCAGACTTTTCTCAAGAGCTGAACTGATCCACCGAGCGCTGATTAGGTCAGATGGGACTAATGAGATCAAGATGCAAGTCCTTGTAGCTTTACATTTATCAAAATATCCACGTTGATCTTATTTCTGCTACAGGAAGTTTCCGAGATCCCTCGTTATATACATCATGGCTAAATCCTCAGGATGCTTTTAATGAGTGGAAAACCCCAAGAGCATTTAATAAGTATGAAAAGTCTGCTTCTCTGGTTAGCAATAGCCAGTTCCTGCTGAAACCTCTTGACAACGTTGTAGGAAAAGCTTGGAATATGTTTGCTTCCAAGTAAGTGAAAATAATTCTGTTCATTTCCTTTATAGCTGACATTATCTTCAATGGTAGCAAAATCATTGCAGAGAATGGTCATTTTCAGCAAAGTAATGGTGAATGAGCTTGAATACTGTTCCCACATGTCAGCAGAAACATTTTTTTTACTTCAAACATGATGGCAGGGTGCTTACCTTGCACAGAACAGTGCATATTTCCTGTGGATTAGCAATACCACATATTCTAGGGCTATCGATTTGGCTCCCTAAACTTAGTGCATTCCAGATTGCCCATTCTACAAATAATACATACAAACTCTTTTACTGATCATACAGTTTCTAAATTATATGCAGACAGGCTTCACATTCCAGGAAACAAGTTCCTGGCTCAAAAACACAAAGTTCAAAAACACTGATGGGATAGAAAATGACTGCCTCTTTACTTGGTCACCATGAACCCAAGGTAACTGAGTGTCACAGCAGACACCTGATAAACAGGAATTCGGTGATTAAAAGCCAAAGGAGAAATACTGCATCTACTAGCAGTATTCCTATTTTTATCACCTGCTGCAAAAACAGCAGTGATGGGAAGCAAGCTATCCTGTACACACAGGTTTAGGCTCTGCATCTCAACTTTATAAATCACTTTTCTCATTTATTCATCATAGCTCCTTCTGTTTCCCAGCTGACTGATTTTGTTAGATACAATTCTGTCTCATTAAGCAATATACAAAGTAATAAATGCTATTAGAAATAAGTCATCATTTATCAGTAAGTATGAATTACAAAATGAGTTCAAGAGAGAAAGGTAAAACCTAACCACCAAAATCCGTTTGGATTTGTTACAGCAACTATACAGTCTAATTGAATGTGTCAGATTCTTCACAGATTTCTAACATCTTGTCTGTTTTTGTACTGTGACTTTGACACACAGAGCCTACGTTCACCAGTACACTAAGTTTGGAATTGAAGAGGAGGATTTCTTGGACAGTTTCACAGCTCTGGAACAAGTTATCTCCAGTTACACCAACCTTTGATTTTTGAAATGGTTTCTTCCTGAAAGAACCCAGCACTGGAAGACCTTCCATCAACTATCAAATATATAAATTACTGGACTACAACTATTTGTTAATCTTGTGAGCAAGGCATGTATTAGAATCAAACTGGATGAGAACTATGTTTATATGCACAGATATTATTCTTATTTAACAGATGTAGTAGCTGTTTTCCAAAACAGCTAATATCTGTTGTAGCTTAATCTTTGAATGTCATTTTCAGAACTTGCATATTTTTAATAAAGAATTTCTATACAGAAGGGATGCTCTCTAGGCATTCCAGCTTCTCCAGTTCCAATTTTTCATGCTATCACTTTGCCCTGGAATGCTTTAATACTGATAAAAACACACACTATCAGAATTATTAAGCCAAACTCCATTTGGGTATCATTCAAGAGACAACAGTCTGCCACACGGTGCTTTAAAGCGAAGTAAAGCTTAAATTCTACTTCAAGGCTTATAGCTTTGACAAAACACTGGAAGTTCTGAACCATCTGGGAAGAAAGAAAAAAAACACAACAAAACACCTGTGAATGGGGGTCTTCATTTTCTTTGCATCCTGCAGTTATATTAAAGATCACAATGGATTCCATGTTTTCCATACACTTACAGGGAAAACCGCAACTCTTGCTCTTCCTCCTGTGTTAGGAGAGCAAGCAGGTGTTCTTTTTTAAATCTACCTTTTAGTACTTAAAGAGATTTGGGAGGAGAATTGCTGTTAGATTACAGATGGATAACACTGTAATCTTATCATGTAATTTCAAAATTTAAGAACCAGGCTTTTTATTTTCCCGACAAATGTTACAACGACCACAAGGTGGTGCCAGCGTGAAGCTGCAGCCTGCAAACACAGCAGCCAGGTACAGGAGCAAAAGTGACCAAAAACCACTCCGATAAAAAAAAAATCAGATCAATCTCAAGGACTTTTCCTATGAGAAGTGGACAAGTATCACAGTTACAGTTTAAGCCTCAGACCTATTTCACTCCAGGCCACTGAGCTTTTAACTAAAAGATGAGCAAGCATGCAGAACAGTAAATATGTTAAGGACATTTGCAACTTGGCCTGCTAGAAGTCTTGCCCTGTTAGAAATTCTAATCTAGATTTTAAATCTGCAGTGACTTAACACAGCAGCAGATGCAGAAATGCTCTTGTAATTCTGCTGGGCTTCAGTTAGAGGCCAGCAGACACTGTATATTACTCTTATCTCTACTTTCTTTCCTAGTTTCATTTACCTCTTCATTTTTGTTCAGGTCAGGAACAGAAGCGCTAAAATCCATCCAGGAACAGCTGTTCTCAAAGTAGCTCAGGAGCATGAGATCTGGAAAGGCAAACAAATCTGACGCAATCTGAGCAACTGCACAACTGACTCTGGAGAAAGTCTTGTGGTAAGTTCACAATTGCTCAAATACAGAAGCAGCAACAGCTGGCCACTGCCATGGCTGTAGTTTCAATGCATGCCACAATGGGTTCTGATACATTTCGTGAGAGTTTAAAGATAAGCAGTGTTAATCTCTAATGCCTTCTGAAAAAAAAAAATAATACAGGACGGAAGACAAAGAAAGCAAGTGGGGTAAATGCACTCAATTGACTTTTCATATTAAAAAATGCGTGATGTGTATGACAACACATTTTGACACTGTTCTTACAGACCACAGCGCACAATCCAACAACTCAGCTCATTTTGCCTTCTCTTTTCACTCAGCTGCTTTAATTCCGGTTTTAGGAATTCCTCCTCAAAAGGAAGACATAATAATCATGGTTCAACTATTCAGATATACTTCATTTAAAACCACATATAGTTTTCATAGGCAATTATTTGTGATTATTTAATATTTTTTTCACTGAATTACTTCCTGTCAGCTCAGAGATAAGGGACTGTTATGATCAAAAGGGATTTTCTAGTGTTCTGTTTTTGTCAATTGAACTATTAAGCTGGGTGGGTATTCTCATGCAATAAACTGGAGGGAAGATTGCACAAAACACCAAGAGAACCAGCTCGGGCAGTTCAAGTTTGCAAATAGCAAAGGGTCACGAAAGCAAGCAGAACAGCGAGGTTCTCCTTCTTCCCTCCTTCAAAAGGCACAGGATACTTAACAAAGGTAGAAATCATTTTTCCTAGTGTTAGCTATAGATACTGTTGTCAGACTAAGGATTTCTTCCAGTGTCAGAGATGAAAACAGGTAACTCCATTTCTGAAAAACAGTGACTGAGTCCCAGGGATGGATATTCTTCCTCATTGTGACGCTGTGTTACAAAAGAGCTTTTAAACAGCTACAACAGGTAAGTCCTCTCAGCAACAAGGAAGAGAGCTACAGGCTATTGTACTGCTACATAAGTAACTTGCAGAAATACCACTGCATTATGTCTGTGTATTTACAATTCCAAGCATGAAGCAAATGCAGCAGCACTTATTGCAGCCACAATGACAGAACCATTCACCCGTCCCTTACAGCTGCATCTGTTCTTTAATGGAGTATGTCACTTCCAGTTAACAAAGGAGCATATTTGGGTTTAAGTTTAATGGCTTAGCTATGCCACAAAATTCATTGCTACTTAACAAGATGCCAGTCAAGTTTTGAATTTTGACAACGCAGATTTCTCGAAGCTACAAAAATTGGAGGTAAAAACAGAACTGTAACTGTTGCATTAGTTCTTATGATCACCTTGATTTCACTGGAGGCTGACAGGAATTATTTTTGGCTTCTCCAGGTCTCTTCCTGCCAGCGTTTTTTGCAGCTGACCTCAGTTTTGAGACTCTCACCCTTTCCCAAACTAAGCCTTCATTTTTTTTTTTAATCTGTGGCTGAATTCCTCTATTTTTTCCCCAGGATGTGGAGAGCACAGGGTCAAGTGGCAGGAAGTGAATAACTATTCTCAAATTTACATCATCTCAAATTATATTAGAAAGTGGAGAATTCTTTCTTTATTATTGTTTTATGGAGAAAATTAGTTTTGTAAACAAGAGCCTGAGCCTGGCAGAGGGCTGTTACTTCATTAGCAGCTGAAATGAGCAAGGTAGATCAAAGGCAATCCCAAGGCAATGGTGAACTGAGGGATGGCAGCACCAGTGGCCCTGACCCCACTGCTTTTAGCAAAATACCCACAGGAAGTCCATGAGCCAAGGAACAATGCATCAAATCTCACTATTGTTTGTTGTCACGGACAGGTGCAGGTCCCCTGGAAGTTGATTCAAGGACTAACTATAGCAGAAATACTGAGTGAACAGGATAAGTTTACTTGGTCACCAGAAAATACAGGGCCTAAGTTACAAGTACTTTAAAGAGTGACTGGCCTGTGACAGGGCACTGATGCAATTTATTTGGACTTGCTTGTAAAGTAAGACTTCATAGCAGTAAAAAAAGAATATGAACAATGAAAACAACATGGAGATAGCAGCAAGAACAGTTCTAGATTAAGGGCAAAAACCAGAATTCTGCCAGTATGGAAAAAGGAAGTTGTGTGCGAATTAGCAGCTGGTGCACGACTGGGAAACGTTAGGGTGAAAAAGGTATTGAATGATTCATTCATTTCCTTTGGCATTTGTTAATAAATTCAGTTTAAGTGCTATGAAATGACAACCCAAACATCCTAAAGGAAGTACTCTCGGATGTCAAAGCGCACTTTAAGGAAGCCTGAGATTTGCCGGACACTGCTTTAAAAGCTGAACAACAGCCACCAGGAATGTGATTCATGGATCTGCTGTATTACGAAAAGCTACAAAAAGAGCAGTGCTGCTGCTATTTCTCTACTGCTTTCAAGGACACCCCAGCCACACCTTTACCAGTGTAGCAAATTCCAGTGTAAGCTTCTTCCTCAAGCCAGCAGCACGGCTTGGACACTCTGACAGCCTTTAACCCGCCTGGATGCAGAGCTGATAATCCCAAATTTTAACTGCAGAACCTTTCCGGTTTTTTCACTCAAACTGGATGTTCACAATGGCCCCTTCTGAGCACACATTGTATGAATCCTCTCTCTCCAGACAGCCACTTCCCCTCTGTCCGGGTGGGTAATGAGTCACCCACCTCCGTGAATCAGCAGAACATGCTTAACCCCTTCCCAGAAGCACCAACAGCTGCACATTGGGTGGTGTTTCAAACAAATGTTATTGCCAATGATACAGAGCAAGTTGGAAAAGTCTGGAGATGGCTAGGTGTAAGAGATTAGTAAGGCCATAATGCTCCATCAGATAGAAAAATAAGAAAAATGAGGACTTTCTCTTGGCCAAAACTCCTCTCAGTATTTCCTGTTTCAGCTTCAGGAAGCCGTGAGCTCCCTTCACTAATTATATATGATGAGAAACAAATGCCATCGTAAACAGTATACGTGCACTTCAATGAGTGCGTTCTCCAGACACCATTATTGTACCTATTTGGTTAGGCATACCGAATAATGTTTGTTCAAAGGCTCACATGAGTACACTTCAGTTGCCTGAGAATGGTGTAACTGTGGTCAGATGACATGATTCAGTTTGAGCCTTTGCCCAGCAAGCTCCTATATGTAACAGATCAGTGACTGGAGCGCATGAGCAGCACACCACCCAAGGAGCCAAATGGAAAGCAGCCTCATCCCACACTCTGAAGGTGTAATGAAACACTGACTCCGTAATCCTTGGTTGGCAAGGGCAGCAGTAGAGTCATTGTGGCAGCCTCAGTCAGAACAGTGAGAGCTGGGCAACAATTCAGAGCTGCCACTCAGCTCCAAACAATACTGGGTTCACTATGAACTCCCATGTAAGAGTGCTGTGGGATGGCTGTTTCTACCACTTGCAAAGAGTACACTGGGACATTTATTTCCTCCTCACCCCACATGGAGCAGCTCCTACATGACTGAGTCACCAGGTCTGCAGATGTATACGTGCAGCTGTTTGATGCTGTAAATCACGTCCCTCCCTGCGAGAACTTAACTCAGCTTTTCACATCATTTTCCTCTGTAAGACTGTCTCCAAACTCAGTTTTTTCACTGTGGAATATTATTGTGTAAAAAAAAATAGATGTGAACCAAATGCGTACTGCGATAAAGTAGCTTATTTTTCATCAACAAAGGAAACCTGAAATCACACATCCACGTGGGATCTCACTCAAACTGCAGAAAACTCCACTCAAGAGCCAAACCTCAGCTTGTACAGAGAGCACTGAGCATGACGGGCAGTTGGGACTGCAGGAACTGAGCAAAGAGCCATCAGCTACCAGGAGTGAGCATCAGGCTGCCATCAACACCAGCACCTTCATTACTCAATCAGAATGACCAGCTCTCTGTCACAGCTGAACCCTACTGCCAAAGGACAGCACAGGAGATTTCCAACTTAGAGACATAGGGAGTTCACAATCTCCTGGATCTGAGATATCTTTCAGATATTCTCCATCTCTGCAATTCTCCATTACAGCAAAGAACAGTGAAATGACACACACTACCAATGCCACGGGGAAACAAAATGCTTAAAATCACTTGGGGAGACAGAATCAGACCTGTGGGGCTCCTCTGTCACTTGTACATTAAAAAAAAAAAAAAAAAGAGTAGATTATGCCTTAAACTGCTGGTATTAAGGACAGAGTATCACTCAAGCAGAAGCACAGAAGTCACCCATCTGTACTTCTTCCACAGACTGAACAGCAGTTTCTGGGGCCATCAGGAGGCGGGTGTGTAGCGGAGCAGTTATCAGAGCAGGAACAACACACAAAGCTCACAAGCCCTATCTTTTGCCTTTCACCAGGAAGTATCAGTTCATTTCCTTATTGCCAATTGCCTGGGCATCACATTTCAGCTTCTTGGGAAACCAGAACAATTAAGGGAGGAGCAACTCCCCCGAAACTCAGGAGGTGCTGCACACTTACATATCCGTATCTGAACAGCTTAAATAAGGTTTAGAGAGAGGCGACCTTTGATTTAATGCTCATGTAGTCAATGCTCTGAATCATTCCTTAAGTGAACAGTAATAAAAACCCCTCCAGCAAATTAAAGAGCAATGTGAAAGGCAAACTAAAACAAAGCATAACCTCTTTAACAGGTTTGTGTGTGTTTTTCAAACAATTGAACATCACCGACAGTGAATATGCAGAACAACTTCAGTGCCCAACAGCCTGAACCCAGCACAGAGCTGCCAGCTGCATTTTTGACCAAAATAGCATTGTGCTGAATCCCTGGTGTGTGCCCAAAGCCCATCAAAGACTGCTTGGCCTTTCCTGTCTGCTTTTTGTTGGAAGGGCAGATGGTTTCCTGGACATCTGATGACCATTTCTACATTTGAGCTCCTGTTACTGGCTCAGGTTGTGACACCTCTCCTGCTCACACTGTGACCAAACAGCTGCCTCTTGGGAACACTGAGTGCGTGCAGCCACCAAGTCAAACAGAGGAAGAAATGTGAGGCTGCAACTCTGTCCCCAATGGCACACGAGAACTTCAAAAGTCACAGCAGGATCAGGAGGTTCCTGCATAATCCCTTTTAAAATGAGTTTGCAAGGGCATAGGCAAATATCTCCCCTCTATCTGATTCAGGAGGCACTGGGGTGTTCCACACAGAGAGCAAGAACTTTGCTGTTTCCTGGAGAAGTTCCAGCAACAAAGTCTCCCCTGGACCAGACCCCCACTCCCCCCCTCACGCTGCACTCGGCGCTGCAGTCCTATGATCCCATTGGTAGGGGAAGCACTTACTGTTGGGAGGTTTTTTCCTTCTCCTGCTCCAAGAAATAAAAAACACAAGCTTGCAAAAAACCCCTCAGAACTCACAATCCCAGATGAGCCATCTCCATTACCTCCATGACTGCTGATGGTATTTTTTAACCATGTGTTCCAAAGACAACTGCTAGTATTTTTACCTCTAGGACCACCCCCAGCCACCACTTATTTTTACACCTTCAATACACTTTGCTCATTACCATTTGTGTTTGTGCTTGATAACCATGTAATGATCCACAGCGTTCTTGTTTGCAATTAGTGCTGCTTGAAATGCAGAGGAAGCTGGTTCTAACAAAATAAATAACGAAACTCCAAAACACAGCAGAGAGAAACACTGAGGAACAGCACTGAGCCCCTCAAGTATCAGTGATGGGTGCCTGCCAGCACAAGCAGCAGCAGGGCAAGCTCAGCTTGCTGCAGTACTGGGAACCACTGGGATGGAGGTAGGGAACTGCAGAGGGAGCAGTTCCTGTTTGCTGTGATGGAGCAGAGTGGGACTGGTGATTCCATTTAGCATGGAGAAGTGGGGCCTTTTCAACTTATCCATCAGATAGAGCATGGTGAAGCTACTGAGGCTGTTGCTTTTTGCAAACAGAGCTCACTTTGGGCCTAACCCACATCAAACTCCATGATTGACTGCTTCCAGTGCACAGCTGAAAGTATTCCGGACAAAACTGTGGGCTAAGGCAGCAAAATGCGTCCCGATGAGATGTGAAAGGCTCTGGACCTTTCTCTGTAGCCACAAAATACACTGCAAACACAACTTCTATCTTCACACTCATCAGAGAGCACAAAAATGGGATAACAAATTTCAAAGTGTAACCAAATTCAATACACACAAAAAAGGAAACAATCCAGCTGGAATAAACATGAGGAATCTGTTATTTATTTAAGCAAACATAGCACTCTCCATTTTCACAACCTTACCTTGTATTAACTTTTAGCAAACTTTGCTATCTCCCATTGCTGAAAAGGTAGGAGGAAGGAGAATGAGCAGTTCTCTGTTAAATACTTTCAGAAAGAATCAAAACAACAGCACAACTCATCTGAGTGGTCATGTACAACGTGACATGAAGCACTGTATGCTTATATTTCTCACTTTTCAGTGTACAAACAGACTGAAATAAAAGGGGGGAAGCTGGGCAAAGAGGCATCATTACAAGGAGACTGCTAGGGCATTCAGAAAGTTATCATTTATTGGCTCAAGGGGCTTCTTCCATCCCTTTTTAATTATTAATACAATCTCAAGATGCCCTCAAGATGGCATAAATTTCAGTGACTCCTACGAAAGGCCTTAAGACACTACTGGAACTGCAAAGTGAACAACAGCATCCTATGAACAAATGGCAAATTTGAGGGAAAAAACAATGGCACAGAAGCAAGAAAGGTTGCAAACAGTTGTTTCACTAACCCAAAAATGCTGAAGAAAAATGAAACAAACAGCCATGAGCTGCTGACCCGAGTTATTACAATGTGCAAAATTAAACTTTTAGCAGACTGAAAAAAGCAAAGTACTAAACAGAGCTTATTTTTTATTAGTATTTTGTGAATGTGTATTGCATTAGAACGAGTTCTTTGCTATTTAATTGTCAAAGAGCTTATTTAGACCCAAAAGAGAAAAAGCCATTAGGGCCAAGAATTCAGAGGAACTATCCACCTCTTAAAACTCATCAGAGGCAAATGAAGGGCCTTATTGCTTTTAATGGCCTCATGCTGCCTCCCCTCCTGTTGCTTTTAACTACCTCCCAGCACCCAGGGCTCAAATATTTAAATGTAACACGGCTACGTTAAGAAAAGTCCATATTTAAAGCCTCCCCATTCACTCAGTAATGTTTGAAGTTATACACGAAGCATACAAGATAAACATTACAAACCTGACACACAACCGAGATGGAGCTTTAAGAGATGCTTCAGATGCAGCTTGCCACACTGCATGGCTGGTGTGCTCACTTCCATCACAACTGAAAAACATTTATATGCCACTGATGTTCAATGAAAACAGCTGGAGATGGATGAGGGAACGGTCAGATGAGAGATACCAAAATGTCAGACAGCCTACCGACTGTTGTTGCCATGAGATCCAACAGTCAACATCAGTCTGATAAGCTATCCGACAGGATGGTACAGCCATGGGGATGTCACGACGGCTGGCAACACAGGAGGACATTCATGCAGGATTGAACAAAATCCTGATTCTCACACCTTGCTCATGATCTGCCCTAACCTAACGCAGGCATGAATATACAACCCAAACAAGAGCAAAATCAAGCCTGCCTCGTGCTTGTGTGCCACCTGTTGATAATGCTAACTGAAAGTCAAATTAATTCCTAATCCCCCCTAGGCTAAAAATCAAAAACAGCAGTTCTAAAATCACAGGAGTAGTAATACATACACAGCAGCAGTGGTGTGGCTGTCTATTTTCAAAAGAGGGAAGAGATCTGTTCTAATATGGATTACATTCACATACATTAAAATCAGAACACTGACTTAAAGCACTATTTTATAAGCGTCTGAATTTTCAAGCCCAAGTGTGAAGTTCTCTATGGCTCCACATACAATTGCTGGGTTTGACACCAATTCTCTGTGTTAATCTGGAATCTTTATACTTCCCCCTTCTCTTCTCCTTCACAGCTCATGATGTTGTGATCAGTGGCAAACATCAACCAAGAATTCATGCTAACAATCATAGCTAAACTCGCCTATTTTAAGCAGTGAGCCACACTTCACCCAGTGATACACCTTCTACTTTGTTCTGATAAGAAGTTCTTAAGAAAAAGGGGAAAAAGAATCAAGGGTGGTTTCAGCACCATTTGTGCAGGAAGGATGAGTAAAGCATGCAACCCATGGGCTTAAGGCTTAATAAGGACGAAACTCAGCATACAAAAGGGGAAGGGAAAAGAAACAGCTTAAAAAGACTGACACGAAATTCTGGAATGATCAAAGATGACTTTATAAAGTTTTATCTTAACTTCATTCTAAATATACAGAATAAAAAAATGTCAGCTTCAGCATTTTGACATCAATCATCTCTGCTAACATCGTGACGATTAAAGGGCGGCTTTTCCAACCAAGAGCACGTGCAATGCAATGGGACACCGGAGAATTCAAATGGAATAACCTTACCACGAGGGACATGCAACAGTTTTTATCCAATTTGTATTCATTTATATACATCTTGATGGTCTTGAAAGTTAAGGTAAAAAAGCAAAAGAGCCGCCCTTCAAAATAAAGGTTACCCTTAGGTCAGTCTGAAATGAAATCAGGAAATACTAAACCATTGGTTTTGGAAGTAAATTCGGATGGACAACATCTGTGTTAAGCACAATTTAACATCACCTTGTCCATGCCATATGATACAGCTCAGACGTATAAAGCCTTCATACCTTACCTTAACACCAATAAGTTTGTCAGTGAAACGTCTGTTCTAATAGCCAGATTATTTTCAAAATAAAATAAAAACCTGCCTTAGTTCAAAGTTGATGTTAAAAAGTTTTCCCCCATTTTGAATAATGCTGAATTTTAAACGTATGGAAAGAAGCGTCACTTTTTGTGTCTGCTAAAGCCCATTCCCAGTCCTTTTTCCAAGCTCATTTGGTTTTCTCTTCGGAGTACATCTTCTGTTGCAGCCTTTTGGCATAGCTTTGGGCCATGGAGTTGATTATGGATAAGATAAAATAACAAACCATGACAATCACCAATTTTTCAAACATCCACGACAGCCAGTTTTCACCCTGAAGAAGACAAAGACAAAACAGAACAAGGAGGAAAACAGAGATTAGTGGACAGCACAAAGGCAGTTCTCTCCATTTTATAAGTGAAAGGGAAAAACCCGAACATCTCTTTAGAATTCATCTATCAAATTGAAAACAGGAACCAAGCTATCTGTACAGCTGAGTTTGGTCCCTGGAAAGACAAGGCACTGGGGACTGCCACCCACACTGCAGGGCAGACAACGAACCCTTGCTTTCTCACCCTGTGCTGATGAAGTGATGCATTATTCCCAGCGTTGGCTGGTCTCTGCTAACAGTTCAGAGAGTTTGGAATTAACAAATTAACCCCCGACTGCCAGTTGTCTTGTTCATTGCAAACAAAACAATAAGGCCACTGGTTAACAATGTTTTTTCCTAAACTGTGCATCTTCCCATCAATTTCAGGTTCTTCTTCGTCTCAATGTTCACACGATGACATCCGCGGTCCCACTCCGTTTCCCTACTGCTCCTCACTGCTGTTTTTTGTCAAAGGAGGGCAGCACTGCACTGCACAACAGTCACATCAATGCAAGTGAGAGGTATCTCAACATCTACTTATCCCAGACTGATTCTCCCTAATTGAACCTCTTTCTATTAAGAAATGGGTCAGAAAATATTTATAAGAGCTCTAATTACTACTGATCAGTTAATTAGATTAACGGGCTTGGGTGAGTGGAGCTCGTGTTGAAGTTACAAACTTGCTCCATCGCCACTAAAAATTTTTGGTTTTTTACACTGCTTTGTATGAAAGGATTCTTCTGCCCCTTTGTCCCAACACCAAACACTGCATCTTTCTTCTCCCTTTTGGACACTGACCCCCAGAGGTTCTGTTTCTCTCACTGGCCATTAAGTGACAGAACCCACTGCCCTCCCAAGCACTGGTGCTGACACAGTTTACCATCACTCCTTGTGTAAGCATAACTTCTTTCTGCTTCTATTTCTCCTTCAAAATAGACATGCTAACAGAGAGGCAAGATGAGCCATCGGCCTTATTTTATTGTTTCCTATGTTATTTAGGAGGTTTGCAGCCAGTCGCATACAAATCTTTTATTACTGTTAATTCCCAGGTTGCTTTTTAAATTAATATTCAGCTAATTCCTGAGCCACTGCAAAACCCTTCACAAAGAATAAAGAGTTAAACCTGCAAAGCTGACCCAGGGAGAAGGCAGATAGAGGAAAAGTTCATGGGGGAGGCAGAGAGGCTCTTACCTGCGGCACACCGGCGTCGTGTTTGTGGTGGAGTTTTATCCTCTGAGCTTCCAAATATTCTTGAAATGGCTTCTGAAGAGAAGGACCTATACTTGGAATAGCACTGATGCAATATTTTTTCCCAGGGAACAAGACAAAATAGAGGAGAAAAAAAAAAAAACAGAAAAAAACCCATACATATTAAAAAAAAAAACAAACAACAAAACTTACCACCTTGACCCAAATAGAACAAAGTTCCAACTGAGCTACAGCTCAGAAGTGCTTTGCTGCTTGGGAAAGCAGATAAGCACAAAATAAAGTGTATTTTATCTTTAATCTGATACTTCTGGAAGGGACATGTTTCCCCAGAGCTTCAAAGTGTTTAAAAAGAAAAATATTTCAGAGCGAATCAGTGATAATACACTGTTGGTAACACAGAAAGAAGCAGTGAGCGAAGTTTCCTTAAAGCCTGGGAGAGGGCAGCCAGGGCTGTGCGCTGATGTGGTGCTGAGAATGAAATGAATGACTTCTCAGAAGTCCCACATTTATCACCAGCAGTTCCTGTAAGAACTGGTTTGAACCGATTAATAAGGAAATGACTTGTGCTTGTGTCATCCCTCAGTTAAAAAAGAAACTGCTCGCCCTATGACTTGCCCCTATCTCCTCAAAGGAGACGGCCCCTTTCTCAAACTAAGTCCTTATTAGGACAATCTGTGCGTCATCCTTATCCAGAAAGAATGCATTAGCAAATTCTGCAGGCTCCTCCCATCGGTCAGTGATTAACAAAGGAACAAAGAGAGAACTATGAACCCTGTTCTGAATCATTTCATGCTTTATGGCAGATGACTCGCACAAAAACTGCAATACGTTACTGAACACCTTGTTCCTACATTCACGTTATAAAGGTTGACAAGAGGTTTTCGGAGCTGCGAACGCCCTCCCAAAGCACAAAGGTGCTAATGCTGCACAGAGCGGCCACCGACTTCCATCCTGCTAACACACAGCCCATCCACATCCAGCACTGATCATTTCCCTGTAGATCTGAACACCACTCTATGAAGAAAGAGGACTGGGGAGCTAAAGAAACTGTCGTCACACTTTAAAAAAAAAAAGCTTAAGCGTTACACAGCAGAAATTACCATCAGCAGCAACTGGTGTAGTGGAGCCAGGCACAACCTGAGCCATGTGTGGACACCAACACTGCTAATAGCAGCTAAGGTGGGAGATTTCCTACTGCTGCCAAACATCAGCTTATTCTTTTTTTTAATTATTAAAGAAATCAATATGGTCTTCTACATTACAAAAGTCACCTACGATTCAGTGCTACGGTTCTGAGTCTTTACACCACCACTTCAGGGAGAAGTCAGTAACATCTGCTTCACTGAGCCACACGCAGACAGGGCTAAAAACCATCATCTCCTCTCTGAATTACACGCTGGGGGGATCCAGACCCCTGCAGTCATTTCCCCCAGCCTCCCATGTTGACACAGTGTTTGCTTTTCCACATTAAATCCCAATCCCTAAGTAAGAGCTTTCTAATCTTTAAAAATTATGAATAAGCACAAAGTGAAGCAACAAAACAACTCGCTCTCCCCACTCTATTCCCTCCACTTGCCAACAGGACAAATTGTTTTTTAAACACATTTATCTGAAGAAGATTCTGTCCTCCATGATTCACCGTACGCCGATACCAAAGGGTGAGTAAACGTTGTGCCCGGCCTGGTACATTTTCAGCCAAAAAAAAAAAAAAAAAGGATTGAAACTAAAGCACATCGAGGACACATCCTGCATTAGAGCATGTCGACATCTACAAACGGTTCCCAGCTTTTCGGAACCCACCCTTCAGAATCTGACTGTGTCTGTGGTGCAATGTTCTTGGAATGAGTCGCTGATCGCTACGAGTCACCGCTGGAAAGAGCAGTTATGCTTCAGGTTTCTTTCCTTTCGCAAATGGAAGCCCAGGAAAGATCCTGAAAGGTAATACTTTGTTTCTAAAATTTTGCATGAATATGAAAAGAAGAGTATGAGAGCTGTGAGAGATGAATGAGTAACAGAAGTTATTCAAATTCTCCATTATTTTGTTTTTGGAAGCTGAAC